ATAAATAAGTTAGCAAAAGATGGAGCCATTTTGGTGCCCATCGCTGTGCCATGAATTTGAAGGTAATGACCGTCGCCGAAAACAAAGTTATTATTGGTCAGAATCAGCATGATAAGTTCACGGAGATGTGATTTAGATGGGGTTTTAATCAAGGTAGCCGTTAACACTGTTAAATCATATATAAATCATCAAAGAAAGGTAAATACAGTGTTCGAATAAAGGACTTAATAAATAACTCGTGTAGCATAGCTCTCAACGAATATAGTCCTGTAAATTTGTGTATATAAAATGCCTCTGGCGGGACTCGAACCTACGACCTCTCGCTGTCAAGGAGAGTGTCATAACCACTAGACCACGGAGGCTTCATGGTTGAACAGATTCAAATACCACCAGATACACTCTATTACACAATAGTTACGGCTAGAAACAAATAGGTGCATATAATATAAATCAAGGTAGCCGTTAACACTGTTAAATCATGATTTAACCTATTTGTTTCTAGCCGTAACTATTGTGTAATAGAGTGTATCTGGTGGTATTTGAATCTGTTCAACCATGAAGCCTCCGTGGTCTAGTGGTTATGACACTCGCCTTGACAGCGAGAGGTCGCAGGTTCGAGTCCCGCCAGAGGCATTTTATTACACAATTTCTTTATTCATTTATTTACAGGACTATATTCGTTGAGAGCTATGCTACACGAGTTATTTATTAAGTCCTTTATTCGAACACTGTATTTACCTTTCTTTGATGATTTATATATATATATTATATATACACAAATATAGATTGGATTAAGACAATATGTCATGACATGGAGTTTGCAATGGTTTTAACGTGACTGTAAAACACTAAGGGATCTTCAGTGTGGTATATGGCTAAACCTAAAGCTTAAAATCAGTTTTCAATATTGAACATAGTTTATATATTTGTACTGGTATAGGATTTAATATGTACTATTTTATAATGATAAGAGCTTCAATTATTGTATTTGAATCCCACTGTGGTAGATCAAGCATATTGATGTTGGTTTAATTGTGGAGCCCTTTAGAGCTGCCCTAGACAGTGCCTTTGGGGCGCATAATTCTGAATGGGCTTAAGTTTCCTTTCTGTGAACTTGAGATGGACTCAGGTGGCCCAGCGATTTATTGCCTGTGTACAACCAAGCTTTGATTTAATTAAATTTCTTCATTTAATTAATTGAATGTATAATTATACAATTTTTAAAAATAATATTATTACTCATTCAGGTAAATGTGGATAGCATAATAAACAAATTGTAAAATATAGAAAAGAAGCTTCCAGAAAGCAATAAAGAGTGTTATTGTCATTTAATTGATGTGATAGATTTAATTGTTTATTTTTGTATTGCTTGTAATTACACAATAATGAAAATAATTAAAATAAAATGCCCAGATAGATCACATCAAAATGATTATTACTTAGTGTGAACAAGATATTTACACATATAGAAGTAAAGTAAATTATCTTCAATGTGAACAAAGCCATTTGTCCACATATCAAGCACCCTGAGCATTTTACATTAGATGGATATGTGCGCTATATAAAACTACACTATTATTATTATTATTATTATTTGCAGTATATAATAAATTACAGGATTATCTCAGAGGTGTTTCTGTGTATCAACCGCCCTCAGCGGTGGCGCCAGAATTTTTTTCGACAAGAGGTCCGACATGTCGGATGGAGGGGTCAATATTAACATTATTACTATATATAAAATTGCTTTATTTAAAAAAAAATTCTTTCACTTCAATTGAGCAAGAAAGTACTGTAAACTACACTTGTCAGTTACCAATTTAGTTTTGTGCTGTTTTGTATGTTTTTTTGAATGATGAAATAAAATAATATATTTTTTTAAATTACTTATAATCCCAGGATTGGAAGGCAAACAAACATCTTAACAACCAAGATGCATTTCCACTCCATCAATTTTTTATTGTGTGTATGTATATGTGTGTGTGTGTGTGTATATATATATATATGTGTGTGTTTGGCTCTATGCTTCACCAATCGCCTACTTTATATATATATATATAAAATATATATATATATATATATTATATATAATATATATATATTTATATATAATAAATATATATATATTATTATTTTTTTATTATTACCATCATTATTATTAATTAATATTGCTATTATTTTCATTATTATATATATTTGAGATACCATTGGTTTTTTTTTGTTTTTTTTTTTTTGTTTTTCTCAAAATTAGGCACCGAATTCCTGAGCGGCAGTGGTGGATGAAGCTGAGGCCTTTACTAAGGATATTAGCGAAACATGAAAGCACCTATGAGGTTGATTGTGAGGAAGTGTTCAACGCCATACCTTAACTCAACATGTTGGTATGGTAGTAAAGAACCTGAGGTTGATTCTGCTTACGAGTTTTCACCGCGCAATGGCTTAGCTAAACATTTTTCATAAATTATAAATTATTGGTATGGTAGTAGAGTACTAAATGCTGATTGTACATCTAAGTATTCACCACCATGGCTTAGCTAAACAATTTGCTTCGATTAGAGATTGTTGGTTTTGTAGAAAAATATGAGTCCTCCAGTATGCTTTGGTCAGAAAGTATAGAGAATGCAGTTGAAAAAATGGATAGTTTGCAATGTGTGTGTATGTGTCGTGCATGTATTTATGACAAACCAAAGTAGCTCAACCTGATAATAAATAATAATAAACATCAAGACAGTGTGTTGGATTTGCTATTCCATGTACCCTGATTGGTCAGTGTGTAGGATTTGCTATTCCATGAACCTGATTGGTCAATTGTTAAATAATCTGATAATTCCATGTGGTAACGTGCAAATGCCATTTATTCAATAGTCTTAACCATTAATTATTAATGTATGCAATAAATAGTGAATATTTATTATAACTTAATTCATAGATTAACCTGCCGATGATACATCTTGTAGCTGAATATAAAGATATTTTTTATTTGTAAACAAATTGCAATATCGTGTAAACAATTATAAAAATAAACAATTTAAAATTATAAATAGAAAGGGCTGTTATAGGTATAGTAAAACCTACAGTATTTGAAAATTTTATAAAAGTTAAATATTTTATTTTATTTTTTTTTGCTCTGTATTTTAATGCAAAAGTTGCATTCTCATGTGAAGGTGATGACATGATGGTTTTGCTTATGAAGTAAAGAAATAGTTTCGGGAACCAGTGATGGTTTAGGAAGGCAAAACTTGGTTCAAGAGCAAGCACCTGGTCAGGGAACCAACAACCATTTCTGGGAAACACTAACTATATTTTCAGGTGATTAGGTTGAGGGAATTAATGATTAAGAAAAACTGAACTATTACCTAGTTTGTACATGGAGGAATTAGTTTGTTCATGGAACAGAAACTAATAATGGGTTAATGAAACCAATTCAACGAAGCAACAACTGGTTGAAGAAACCAGTAACCAATAACTAGTTCATAGAACCAATGCTTGGTTTACCACATAACCATTAGATGGTAGCACTCAGAAAACCAGTAACTAAAAACTGGTTGGAGAAAACAATAATCAACAACCGGTTGAAGAAATCAGTAATAACTGGTTCATACAACCAGTTCTTGTTTTACCACATAACCAATAAACACAAAGGAAACCAGCACAAAGCACAAAGGAAACCAGTAACTAAAAGCTGGTTGAAGATACCAGTACCATTAACTGGTTTATAGAACCAATAACTGACTCAAAAGGAGCCAAAATAAGAGGTAAAAAGTTGGCTGGCTGGTTGGTTGGTTGGTTGGTTGATGGTTGATTCGAATTGTTAGTTGAACTGGAGATAATACATGTTACCTTAGGTGACTAGATGGACTACTACTATGGTGATATTAGCTAGCAATTAGGTATTAACTTAGCATTTTACTGCAAATGTTTTACGATCTATGGTTTAACAAATGGATTGTCAAAATGGTGCTTATATTGTGGTGTTTACATTGAAATTGCTGGTTCTCGTATTCTTAGTGGATTAAATGTTTTATATCCATCACTTCAACAATGTTTTGTTGATCTTCACTTATGTAAGGTGCTATGGACCTAAGGGTGAATTAGGCATTTTGAATAATCATTCAATAACCAATTAGCAATTGTGATTTGTGGTATCGTTAGTGCAGTGCTTTTTTTTTTTATTCATTTCATAATACATACATACATTATGAATTTACAAGGCAAAAGAACACTTCAACATAAATCATAAGAAACTCAAACAAAAAGGCAGAAATCATAATACGATTACATAAATACAGAATAAGCATAATTCATTATCTCTCTAGTTACAAAACAAAATCAGCATTCTGATTTTGAAAATGAACCTTAACAACAAACCTCATTATGTCTCTTCGGAATTACTGTCTTTTTGTTTTAAACCTCAATAGTTACAATGTTTTATTTATAACTTGGCAAAAGAAAAGGAGAAACACAGAAAACACCATTCCCTGTACTATCCATAAATGATAATTATATTTTTGCAATTTTTTAATCTTCAATTTCAATAAATTTAAATTTTTCTTCGAATTTTTTCAAAATATTTTTAATACAGGCAATACCATTTTCCATTATATATGGGTAAAGGTAGTACGACGCAGAAAAGCTTTGCACTCCGATGTTGAACAAAAATCATCTTATATTATCTCGTACACCCAGCCAGCCCTCCCATCTCATTTCCCTGCATTAGGCTAATTCCTCTACTAATTCCGCTGCGCTGGCTATAACGACAGTATTACTGATTGTTAAAACAAAGAGTAACAATTGGTTCGTTATTTATTTATTGTTTATTACAGATTTCCGATTTGATTAACGAATAATGTAATCTATTTTAATCGTAATAATACAGTAATCGCAATTTACACATGTAGACATATAAATCATTTGCCATATAGATTATTATTAATATTTTTTATTCAAAAAATTGTATTAGATCTATTCAATCGATAGTGCTTAATCAGATATTTATAATCAATCGAGTTTTTTTTTTGGTGTGTGTTTGTTTTCCTCACAACATTGGCCGAAAATTTCCAACTGCACGTAGACATACACAGCCTAGAATCAAGGGACAGTGGGAGAAATATTTAATATTATTGAATGTAGGTGTAATTTACTCATCAATCACAGATTAATGAATGTTCTCACATCAATATGAATGTTTTTCGCTCAATAAATCATGGTATTAATCCCCATCGAAAGGTTGATCTAGATTATTACAGCTGATTTGCTAAGCGAGATTAGTACGAGTTGGTTCGTCTGCCTACGCCACCTACGGTCTAGACGTCATGATGTAAATTATTCCATGGTCTTGATATTATGGTCTATATGCCTACTGTCATTGAAGTGGCAATCCTACAAATTGACGTTCATAACCAGTTTTCAAAATTCATTCATCTTTACTTGTTTAAAATATAAAAATACTGATGTTCCTATCTTTTAGATGTTTTCAGCGCGCCCCATAAGTGAGCGCACGACGAATAGTGCATTTTAATCAAATCGTAAGATAGCCAATTCAAACGTTTAATTTGGCCTAATGATTATTTATAATTATTTGTTTAATAACATTCCATTTCATTATTGGTATTGCTGTTATGATATAATGTGCATGGCGCTTAGCGTGCCTCCTGGCGCCCTGTTGCATAGGTCTATTAATTACGAATCAATTATTATTCTCATGTTTATCTATTACCTGTATTGATTCATTTAAAATTACTCTGCGGCTTAATAGTTGATTACTCTTTAAATACTCATAAAAATAAGTTCATTGATTTCATCTCGTGACACTCGGCAGTGTTTTTTTCCCCAATCGTATCTAATTGCGATGTTGTGCCATGTTTTAGAGATTAAGAACAGACTCTGTTGAGTTTAAGTATTTCTAAATTAACTGAATAAATTATAGGAATATTATTGTCTCATTGTATCACTTTCTTCGGAGTTTGTTTCATACTGTGATATACGATCTGTGATACTGTCTTATGTCAAACATATTAGTGAATCTTATATTGTTGGAGTTGGAGAAATTGTTTAAGTAGCGGGGTACACAACTGTACTATTTCGGAAATAAATATACGCAAGTCATAACAGGAACCCGTGGCTAGTGCATCCCGGTGTATAATCAATGTTCCCCTTCCCCACCACATAAAAATAATAATAAAATGTTTGATTAGAGCAACTGACCAGTGAGAATAGTGCCATAAATACGCGCATGTCCAACAGACACTGGTGTTGTCCCACAGATGGGATGAACGTGTTTACATGCATTACAATTTTTTTTAAATAAGAACACATTTTATAAGAACACTGAGGCTGAAATTACTTAAAAATTAAGAACAAAAATTTGTTTTTAAATAAAAAACCAACGAATCTATCTGTACCTTATTTTCAGTAGGTGTTACTATGTAATACCCTCTATAATACAGTAAATATTAATATCCTAACTGTAAAATAATAATTTTCTATGTTTAGAAAGTGTGGAAAAATAAGAACAAAATAAAAACATTTTGAGCCTGAAATCGGCCAAAAAATAAGAATACTGAGCCTGGGCAAAATTTTACTGGTTTTTATAAAAACAAAGTGTAATAGGCTACTTTGTTTTGTGGGACATTGGAAACAAAATAATATCAAAGGGGCGGGTCTTAGCGAAAAGGTCCATTTTAGATAGGCCTATGGGCTTAGGTATATGGCACCAACTTTGTTTTGATCAGTGATTGAAAACTTGGCACTCGCGAACTACAGTAAGATGGAAACAAGTGAGAGTAATGAGTTATGACTCCCAAATCGTGCATGTAGCCAGTGGCGTATTTAGAAGTCTTGAAATGGAGGTGCTGATGGGGGGTGGGGGCTCGATGATCAGTTGAGGGCTCGATGATCAGTTGAGGGGCTCTAATTGGCAAAATAAGGCGATTTTTAACTACTTGACCGTGATTTTTTTTAGGGGTGGGGGATGGGGGGAAATAATTTTTAGATACGCCACTGCATTCAGCTTCCTTTAAATTTTAACTCTTGTCCACTTCTTATCACGTACATAAAAATACTTTATCGTACCGTATATTTGTAACTATTACAAACATTCTACGGTTTTGCTATTGAAGAACTTAGTATGTACATATAAAAATAGTTGAATTTCTGCTTGCTATTGAATCTATCAAGGGACACATTAATACATTAGCTTTGAGAGTAAAGTTGAATGCCAACTAGGGTCATGCCGGGTGTCATTACGGAAGAAAGCTGCAAAAGGCCCTCTCCTAATAAGGGGAAGACATAAAACGGACTTGTATGTGATACCGGTAATATGGATTTATTTGCGTCCGGCTACGATCAAAATCTAAAAATCCCTAATTGTTTAACCTCGTTATTGTGTTTGATACCAATCGGACGATCCTATACGTCGCGTGGTGTGGATTATAAATTTAATTGCAAAATAGGCCTAGGCCTAGTAATACTTGTTATAGGCTTAATAACGATAATTAATATTATTACCGTACTTAGGCTAGGCAATCTAGATTGCCTACTAGTAGCCTATTATAATTATTACTGTAATGTTACTAAGCCTCTTAATGGCTTTTATTTTTATTATTACTATATAAATACGAACCCATACAAATAGGATAGGAAGGACTTACAAATAGGCCAACTGATGTAAATTGTTCCTGGTATTGGCCAGACGGAGAAACGCACGCTCCAATACTATTTGTTTATTTACATAACAACATGCGACATACGCACTTGAACATTACAATGATGTCATGGGCGATTAAATCAAGGAGCTAGGTTGACTATCGTAATAGTTCATGATTGATTTGCGACTAAGCAATGAAATTTGTTGATATATGGTACCATAGTGGCAACATCCTTAATGTTTTCTTTGAAACAGAAGCAAGTACCTGGATGCTGTGCCCGCATATCCTGTCTTGTGATCTGGCAGGCTACAACGTACACCATTATCGCCATGTAAACGGCTCAAAAGCACGTAACTCAAGGATTCGCAACCCAGCTTTCAGCCAGGGTCCCAACATTATGCCTATGTGAACAACATCTCCATACCGGTGATCTTCTTAGCCACCAAATGGAATTCAAGTGCCGGATTTCCGTCACGATTTTACCTACAATTGGCAAGTCCTGAACCTTTGGTTACGGTACCGGGTGTATTTGAATATCATATTATAGGCAGTGGTGGCGCCATGGGGGGAGGGAGCAGGGAGGGAATCCCCCGTCGGACAGGCTTGGACCCCTCATCGCCCGATGCCGAGGTCGTCGGACGAAAAATTGCTTATCCAAAACGTTATTTTGATTGTCAGTCCCTAATATTGTGGTCTAGAAGCACAATGTTGGGCAATACTACACCATAAAGACTCTACCCATTAACCCTACAAGGAATTTTTATTCCGGGACCTTGATCGAGGCTCTAGTCTGCCCCTTGATTCTGACCCCGCTGTCGGGTATGTTGCACCCCTCGTCGGCAAATTTTCTGGGAGCCACCACTGATTATAGGCCTACCTACATGCTATATAAGATATAAAG